CTCAGAGACAACAGCTGGAGTTATAAGCTTATAGTTGGGAACTTCCTTACAGAGTTTGTCATATGTCGCTTTGTCAAACAAGACCAGATTATTGAGCTTGTCCCGAACTTTGCCTTTGGACCACTTCTGCTCACCAAAAGGAAAAGGAAAGTCAGTACTCCTGGAAGAAATCACTCCCTCCCTCCCCAAACAACCTGTGTCAGAGAACTCTCTTCCATAGCCGTGGTGCTATACCGCAAGGGTGGCTATTCCCATGAAATTCAGAATTTACAGAAACTCTACAAACTAAGATTCAAGTAATTTGAAACAAGGACCCAAAATAAAAGGAAGTCTAGTTGCCATTAACGGCGTCAAAGATGCGTTAGACTGGGGGAAAACAGTCTGGGGGAAAAAAGTCTTTGCGAATTTCGGATATAGGCTGAACCCCACGACATCAATTAAAATATCATGTACTAAGCATCAAAACATACACGCTTGTTTAATTTCTAAGTAGTGCGTACCACCCTATTCTTCCAAATACAGAACGGTGATGAGAGCCCAAGCTCTAATAACTGGACTCTAGACCGCACACCTCTAAAAGCCATTTGCTCTACATGTCACTTATTACCACAACCACACAGGTCCGGCGTCCCCAGTATCCCCCTCTCCTGGAGAGGGGGGGAGCTCACTCCTACCTTCTTTTTGGCCTTGCCCCCAGATTTGTTCACTGGGTCTTTGTCTTTCTTGGCCGACTTTCCGGCATCTTTCTTCTTCTTGTCATCCTTGGGCGGCTGTAGAGAAAAAGGGGGAATGCAGCCAGGTCACAATGCAGCCCCGCACCGCCCTAACCCCACTCCCGGAGCACATGGGTGAAGCCATCCCCCCGCCCGCCTTAAGCGGCCCGGAGGATCGGGGACCCTCCGTCCGGTGCCGCCCCAACTGCGCCCCAGCACCACCCGGCTCTCAGAACCGCACCGGCTCGCCACCCGCGAGAGCTCACCATAGCGAAGCCGGGAGAGCAGCGTCCACCCCTGCAGCCTCGCTAAGATGTCGGACAAAAAGGAAGCACCACTCCCCGACCGGCCCAGAAACCGCCACCCGCAGCGAGCGCTTCCGGGGCAAGGGGCGGAGCCCGCGGAGGAAGGCCGGAGGCCCGGCTCCCTTGTGCAGCGGAGAGCGCGGCGGCGCAGCGAGGGGGCTGTCGTTCCCGAGCCGCGCACCCCGGACGCTGCCCGCGACTTATTGGGCTTTGCCGCTAGTTGTGAGGCAGCCCCACGTTGTATTCCCTGGCCCTGGAAACGAGAAACAGAATACAATCTGCCACACCCCGCAACGACCCCCGGCGACCCCGCTAAGCGTGGTGCTTTAAGTGCGCAGGCGCCGCAACCAGCGCGCTCTGGGCTGGGCGGAGGGGGCGGGGGGCGGGTCCCGCCGCTGCGGTTCCGGGGCGGGGCCGTCAGGAATACGCCCAATCCGAGCCTTCAGAGGCGCGGTGGCCGCAATGGCGATTTTTAGTGTGTATGTGGTGAACAAAGCTGGCGGCCTCATCTACCAGTTGGACAGCTACGCGCCCCGGGCCGAGGCAGAGAAAACGTTCAGTTACCCCCTTGATCTCCTGCTCAAGCTGCACGACGAGCGTGTGCTGGTTGCCTTCGGCCAGCGCGACGGCATCCGGGGTGGGCTAGGCTTTGCGTCCGAGGGGTGGGTCCGGGGCTGCGGCGTGGGCTGGTGTCTCTGCGGGGCTGGGGAGCGCGCGGAGGGAGAAGGGAGAGGTGGCTGAGGCCGAGTCGCTAGTCCCTTCGGCGGAATCCCCACGCTGGGGCTTCGTTGACCCCTAGCCTCATCTCTGCAGTGGGACACGCCGTGCTGGCCATCAATGGCGTGGACGTGAACGGCAAGTACACGGCCGATGGGAAAGAGGTGCTGGAGTACTTGGGCAACCCTGCCAATTACCCGGTGTCCATTCGATTCGGCCGACCTCGCCTCACCTCCAATGAGAAGCTCATGTTGGCCTCCATGTTCCACTCGTAAGTCCCCCAGCCCTTCCTAGGGCCTGTGGGCCTGCACTTGGCCCTTAGGCCGGCTGGATTAGTGTGGTTCTGCGGGAAGTCTCCTGAGCGGCCGTGCTTACCTTTCTTCGCCTCCTTTTAAATCGTCAGTTCTTGTAGTTGTGAAAAAAAGAATTAATCCAGATGACTAGGTTTTAGGTAATACCGGCAGTGGTGTGGCCTTGCACAAGTCAACTTCTCTTCCCTCAGCTTTAGTTTCTAAAGTAAGGTAACTGAATTAAATGATCGTTAAGACCTTTTCCCATTCTCAACGATAGTAGAAGGTGTGCTGAGTAATCATAGCTGTGGGGTAAGTAACCATGGCACGCATTCCCAGTGGTAATTTTACCCAAAGTTTTCAATGTAAAATGTTTTAAGTATGAGTGTAAAATACATGCAGAGCTCAAATGCATTTTAAAGAAATTTCGGTGCTGTTGCTGCTGGGCAATTGACACGGCCTGTTCTGACCTCAGGGTGTAATGTGAACTCAGCAGAGAGGGTCGCTTCAGTGGAAAAGTTTGAGAAGCACTCCTCCCTCAAAATAGGGTGCATTCCCAACCTTACCTCCTTTGCAAATAGGCTGTTCGCAATCGGTTCCCAGCTGTCTCCAGAACAGGGCAGCTCAGGCATTGAAATGCTGGAGACCGACACGTTCAAATTGCACTGCTTCCAGACACTGACAGGTAGGCGTCTCCAATAGGCCAAAGGGATGCAGTGGGGCAGGTTGGGGTAAGGGACTGACCAAAGACAACTTTGGTAAGCAAGGGGGTGATGGTTAACTTTTCCTGGGACAATTGCACAGACACATATGTCTATTTGTTTTGTGAATCCAAAGCCAATATTTAATCTGATGCCAATTTTGCCCACACCACCCAGAATGCTCAGCCCTGGTTATCCTGTGTGCAGATAAAACTCACCATAATGGTATCTCATGTTGCACACGTTTTGGAAGGTGTGTTTCAAAATGAAACCTGAATGCCAAATGGAAATGACCTTTGGATCGTGTCATTGCCTCACTCCCTTAGTGGGGATAATTGAAAACTGCCTGAGTCTGCCCCCTGCCTGGCACTTGCTGCTGAGGGACCACAAGACTAGGAATTAAGCGACAGAGCTAGATGTCAAAGACAGAGCTAGATGTCAAAGCGTGGTCTCAATCAGTTGGGTGATGTGATAAAGTCACTTCCCTGCTCTGGTCTTATAGATTCACAATCTTGTCTCTCCTGCTTTATGGAGCAATAAGGATAAAAATAAAAATGGGCTTATGAAAATGCCACATGCACACAGGATGATGTTATTTGCTGCATTCTCTACCCTTTTGTAACCATTCTTGGTCCTTCTCCAGGGATCAAGTTTGTGGTGCTGGCAGATCCTAGGCAAGCTGGAATAGATTCTCTTCTCCGAAAGATTTATGAGATCTACTCAGACTTTGCCCTCAAGAATCCATTCTATTCCCTGGAAATGCCCATCAGGTAGGCGGTCCCCCTCCCCAGATACTGGTCAAAGCGTCCTTGCCCCTCCCTTTGTGCTCTTCCCCGAGGTCATTTTTCCAAAAGGATAAGAAGAGTTACTTTTAAATAGAACAAAAGTGGGCTAGTCTTTTCTTGCTATTTTGAGAAACCAAAGACTTTTCTTGTCATTCATGTCCTTCTTCAAGCAAGAGTTTCCCCTGGCTCTACCTCGGCATCCAAGGTGGGAGGAGAGTCTGAGACCTCACACTTTGTCCTCATTTGTGCCTCTTGGGTCTGGCCTAGGTGTGAGCTGTTTGACCAGAACCTGAAGTTAGCCCTGGAGGTGGCAGAGAAGGCTGGAACTTTTGGACCTGGGTCATAGGCTGAGCCCGCAATGGATCCCCCAAGTTTTGAGAGATTCTACAGCAGGGATCCTGCTGTATCCACTCCAATGGAGATCCCCGCAGCCTCGTTAGTGCACTTGAAAATGGGAGGGTGCTGAGCCTGATGACACGTACCGATCCCCGAGCCTTAATGCCATGCTCTCTGCCCTCCTGTATCCACCGTGAGCCTACTTCCCAACTCTGTACAGGTTTATTTATGGAGGGAGTAGGCCCATAAATGCTTAATAAACATTCCTTTGATCTGTGTTCGCTATCATTAATGGTTTGGGGGGAAAAGGCTCTGGTGGGGAGACAGGAATGATAAGGGAGTTCTGGGAAGATGAGATACGTTCTAGTAGAAAACAAGGAATTGTTCGTTGAATGAATGAGCATGGGGCTTTGAGTCGGGAGCCTTGGGTCGAGTTCCAGAATTGCTGACTTCTAAGGTGGTGGCGGCAGTGGTCATGACGGTGGGGTATTTATCAGGTGTTTACAGCCAGGCTTTACTGCTTTAACTTAACCCTCACCCTAATCTCAGGATGCATTCTATTACGGACAATAGATTTAGCAAAGTACGGACTCTCTGCCTCAGAGTCTCAAAGCTAGTTACTAAGCACCTGAGTTTGAACCCAGGCTTTCTGACTACACTATCCGTGAGCCACTGTTACACTGCCTTCCTCCATCGAATGGTTTCATCTGCCTGAAACCCAGTAGCTTCATCTGTAGAATGATCATTGAATTAGTGAAATTGAAGGCAAAGGAGCCATAAACTTGAAGGAGTCCATGTCAGATTTCCCATCCCAAGGAGATGAAGTTTGCCCCTTTTGGGGTGGAAAGAGCAGGTATCGAGAGAATGTTTTCCAAAGAAAGCAGTCTCTGGCTTGTAGTGCCCCTTTGGAAAGAATGACTCACTGATAGTGTTTAGTATCAAATCTAGTTTTAATCTGTTCAAGTCCTCCCCCCTCCCACCCACGCCCCACGCCGTCCACAGGGTACTAGTGAGCGTCATGGCCTCCTCTCCCCTTGGAATTGAAGGTATTGGCAATAGCCGTTGTCGGTGCTAAGAGGCCTTAGGGCAGCAATCATGGGTCACTGGTACCCTGCAGCTGCAGGAGGAGCCTCACCTCTACTGGGGATGGTGTGGGAGGGCCCAGGAGGGGAAGAAGGGTTTAGGGGACTTCCTGACTGCAGGGGTTTCCTGTTTGAAGGCAGGAAATAGGAGCTAATGGAGTCCAAGAACAAAAGTTGCCTTTTAAATAGAACACAGGATGGGGAGCTGGGACCTCATTAGCCACTGGTAACTTCCAGCGCCACCTGGGCAAGGGGAAAGGCGCACAAGAGGAAATCAAAGGTTCAGTGCTAACCGGAGCAGCCCCCCTTTCTTTCTCTCTGCCCTGCTCTCCCCCCCAGCCCCGTGCAGGGGAAGGCCACAGGTGGTTGAGGATGCATTGGAGCCTGTACTCTTCACTCAGCCTTCTTGGGCACTCGGCCCATCTTGGTGCGGATGTTTCGCAGGAGAAAGAAGGCAGCTGTGCTGAGTGCACAGATCACTTCAGCCACCCAGAAGGCTGTGCTCCAGCTATAGTGCTTGGCAATGGTGCTGAAGGGCAGCCCAGCCAGAAAGCCGCCCACTGCCAAGGAGGAGGGGAAGAGCCCGGGTCATTTGTGAGGCTAGAGTCAGTAGGCCTGGCCCCAGCCTCTAGCTAGCCTATGTGTAAGGCACAGTGGGGTGAGGTAGACACTCTAGAGGGCACCACTTACCATTGGCCATGAGTCCCACAATGGCGTGGGAGGTGCCGCACAAGTTGGGAGGGGCGCTCTCATTGGCTATAACTCCGAACAAGGCAATGGGACCGTAAGAAGAGAAACCAAACACAGCTCCCAACACCAGGATCCAGAGCTGCAAGGACAGTGCAGGGTGGCATTTAGAGTCTGAGAAAGTCTACCTACCTACCACTGCCGGAGGGGAGAAAAAAGCTTGGCCCTAGGAACAGATGACTGTAGTAAGGAGATAGTAGGTGACCTCCCTCATCCCACTTCCTGATACAATTGACAAGGCCGAGCTAGAGGAGTGGGGCCACGCTGAGCCAACCTGAGGGCCTGGGTGGGTAGGTGAAGGAGAAGACAGAAGCCATCCCTCCCCATTAGATGCGCTCTCTCAGAATTGATGCTAGGGCAAGGCAGACAGGGTAGGACAAGGGGGAGACAAACCAGGAGGAAAACCACAGATAAGGCACCTCATGCTCCGTAAAGCCTGTGAGCTCAGCGAGTGGGTGAAGAGCTGGAGTCCAGAAAGCAACATCCTAGAGGAGCACAGGGAAGAGAAGAAAACCGGGCCCCAGGTCCAGGAGGAGCACCAAAGTACAGAGGACACGAGGTAAACCAGAACCAGAAAGGGAATTCTGAGAGGCAGAGAAAGGCCTGGGCCAGGGTGGAGCCAGGGACAGGAAGCCAGACAGTCAGTGGCCCTTGCTCTCTAATCCTTGTGCCGGTGGTGGGCCAGGCCCGCCTCATTTACCTTGGGGGAGTCACTGCTCACAGTTACCCGGAAGAGGTACACGGACACAGTCATGCCAGCCATCATGAACAGTAACAGGCCGTGGCGAGGGTTCCCGTAGACGGACAGCCCTGCCTGTGGATACAGACCCAGCAATGTCAAGCCCTAAAAGCAGCAGAGAACCTCCGCCTCTGGACCCTGACACGGCAGGGCTTCTGCTGACAGGTCTTTGGCAGTCCTACCACAGTTCTTGGCCCGGGGCAGCTCTGGGAGGCCCTGGGACCTGCTCATTATATTCTGAGGCCAAACTCCACCACATCCCCTCCTCCACCATGGGGACATATGCTGGCAAGCTGCACCTAGTCTCTCCTCAACCCCAGTTTCCCTGGGCTGTAGAGAAGCCCACTGCTAGGCTGAGAGAAATTCTAGCTCTCCTTGACATCCGTTAAAACCCTTTCCCCAGGAACCTTACCTTGCCTCCACACCCTCAGCAAGTAAGAGTAGCCTGGAATCATTCCAACCTCCCCCCACCCATATGCCAACCTGCCCGTGCCCCAGGGCTCCCGCCTCTCTGGTGCCTGTCCCGGTCATGCTGGGGAGATTTAAAGGGACCCTCCTCCTTCCTGTCCCTTCTGCCCACTCACCTTTGCCATGGCCCGGTCTGACAGGTAGCCAGCTGCAATGCTGCCTACAAGGCCCCCAACCTCCAGCGCACTCATGTAGGAGCTACCTGGCGTAGGGAGTTGTGGTGGGAAGAGGGAAAGGAGGAGTGGAAGGGTGTTAAACACACTAGGGTTGTCCCAGATTGGCTGTAACCCAGAGAGGTACAGGGTCCCCAAGGGTGACCGGCCACAGCTGTCTGGGTGGTGCCTGGCCTCAGGGAAAGAAGAAAGGGATAAAGAGAAGCTGGGCCTGAATTTCCCATCCCTTTCATTGATTCCTGCTCCCTAGGCCCACCCCTGCTCCAACACCCATCTTACCCACGAGGACTGAATGTCCTTTCTCCTGGATAAGGAAAAACTGGCCCCAGTCGGTACAGCAAGTCTTTACTCCAAATACCACAAGGTAGCCAGTGGAGAGCACCCACAGGTAGGGGGATAGCAGCAGCTCCTGCAATGTACTCTCCTCCTTCAAAGAGCCTGGGGGCAGGAGGAGGCCAGGCCTCAGGCTCTGCTCTTGCTGTTCTGCCCCGACTGAGCCCCCACCACTCATTAACCAGCCACAGGGCCAGAGTCCATCCACATAGCCAGGGACCAGCAGGAAGGTACCCCTTCACCCACTGCTCTGCCCTGTCCGCTCCACAGCAAGTCTCGGCAAATGAGAGAAAAACTGAGGATCAGGGCGCATGGCGGAAGGCACCCAAGCCACTTAAGCTGAGGCTGCTGTCCAGGACCGGGAAGTCTGGCTCTGCTGTGAGGAAGGACCAGGATATAACATGAGTCACAGCATTTGTTGGCTCTGCCACTTGTCTGGTACTCAAGTGTCTCTTGGAACGGAGTTTTATTTACTCCCCACCAACTCGCCATCACCACCCCTCCCCATACAGCCACTGGCTAGCCCAGGGCCAGGCATCCAGCCAGTCCTCAGTGAGTCTGCCAGATGAATGATGAATGAAGGGGGCCCCATGATGAGCTTGGGTGGGGGCTCACCCTTCTTGCCCTTGGCGGGGGTGGGGTCCAAGTTTCGGAGTCCGACATCGGCAGGCTCGTTGTGGATGAGCAGGAGGCAGAGGAAGGAGACAACCACACCGAGGGCCCCGGACAGGGCCAGCGTGCCGCGCCAGTGGTAGCTCTGGGCGAGGGTGGTCGCCAGGATGGGGCCCAGCGCTCCAGCCAGGTTCATGCTCGTGGACAGAATGGCCCACCAAGTGCCAAACTGAGATGGCTCGAACCACTGTGTGGCAGAGGGGGACAGAGTAGGTCCCCACGTTAAACATGCCAAAGGTGAGGGTCAGGTGGGGCAGACCTAGGAGCTCACGTTACAGGGGTGAGGAAGAGGGCGCTTCTACTTGGCAGGGCCCAGGCCCTCATCTGCCACCTGATCCCACCATGTTTAGCTCCTAAAATATCTTGACAAGCAATAGGAGCTGGACTGGAACTCCCAAGGAACCTGCTCTGGGATGGGGGTGCTGGTATTCCCACAGGCTCTTTAGGCATCCTCTGTGCTAGTCTAAACCAGCTCCCTGGAAGCAGACGCTCACCTTCCGCAGGATCTTCCCACATGGAGGCCAGCCCAGCCCCTGTGCCAGGCCATTGAGGAACCACAGAGCAGCAAAGACGGGTACCATGGAGCTCCAGGAAAACGCTATATTGACCACACCAACCAGAAGCAGCCCCAAAGAGAAGAGCCAGCGAGCACTCATCTGGTCAGACAGTACCCCACTCACAAACTTGCTGATGGCATAGGCTGCCGATTGGCTGCTAGTGATGAGCCCTGCAGGGGCGGGGAGAGAGAGCAGGAAGCAGGACACCTGGGGAGTTAGGGGCCTGGGCAAAGGCACAGGAGGCATGGAGGAAGGCATGGGGTCAGGTGTGTAGAGGTGCCCTGCAGAGTGAGATACGTTCCCTCCCAGACAGCTAGGAAGAGCCTGTGCTGGAATCATGGGGCCCCGCTCCTCCTCACCACCAGCACTAGCCCCAGGCTGACCCATGACTTTTCAGCCTCCTGGAGAGGTCCAGCTGCAGCTGTCAGGAGGCAAGAAGGGAGAACAGGGCAGGCCCCCTCCCTGGGATTTACAAAGGCCTGATGACATTTCCCCCTCACACTGGATGCCAACCCAGGGCTTCTGGAAGTTCTATTGCCCCACCTCTGAACATGGGGTGAAGAGCTTAGAAGTGGAGTCAAGGGCCTTCTCCCTCCTAAAATGTCACCTGGTGGGCCACATGAAGTTATTTTGCCAACTCCCCAGTTCCCGTGGCTCACAACGTCAGTGGCCGGCATGCACCCTGTGGTCTTAGCATGCCCCCACGCAGTGTGGAAACAGTGCTCAGAGCGCCCCTAAACACACTCAGAATAAGCCATGCCTCTGGGGGCACTCGTGGGTCACAGGCCCACAGAGACACATCAGATGAGCAGCACCCCTCAGGCACACAGAGAGCACATGCCTAGTTCTTCGCCCGTCCACAGGTATACGGTCAGAGTCCCTTCAGGCGGCACCTGCAGGCCGCTCCCTGTCCTCTGCTGTGCAAAGACCCTCCGCACTGCCACAAACACCCAACTTGTCTACTAGTCCTGGGTCCCAGGGCCCAAGCCCCTGCCTTCCAGGGCTCACCCAAGTCATCCTTGTCCAGAGGGATCTCCTCCACCAACGACGGCATGACGAAGGAGAAGGTCTTGCGGTTGAAGTAGTACAGGCTGTAGCCTCCAAACATGGCCGAGAAGATCACAGCGCGGTAAAAGCCGTAGCCTCGGGCCGCCATGGTGGAAGGGAGCAGGCCCCACTGGCAGCGACACGGAGCCTCTGACCACAGCTCCTGCCGGTGGCTCTCTCGGTGCCCAGATCTGCTGAGTTAGGCTTTTTCTGGCTCCCTCCTCCACCCAGCCTCCCAGGCTCCCTTTATAGCCACCTCTGGACAATCATTAAGCCTGGGGCAGCTTGTAGGGAACCCAGTGTCCTGAGGGAGACAAGAAAACAGCAGATTACTGAGGGGGAAGCGGTGGGGGCTGGAGGGGGTCCCGGAGGGAGGCACTGCCCGTGAACCAGCACCAGCCAGCATGCAGTGTCCCCAGAATTTCTGCTTTTCTTCGCTTTTCCTTGTCTGCCCGCCTGTGAAACCAGCTGTGATTAAAGGCTCAACCTAATTACTTTTGTCTGCAGGAGCCCAGGGGAGGCAGGGGTGGGATAAGCAGAGATGCCCTCTCTAGCCCTGCTCCCTCAGTCACCTGCCTTCTCATTCATTCAACCACGAAGTTTAGGGAGCGCTTACTGGTTGCCAAGCATGGCACTAGGTGCTGGGTTAGTTTCTACACACACACTCAATTAGACACATATCCCCAACAACCCGACTCACAAGTCTTAGGACTGACTCAAGTAACTCTCAATGCTCAGCGCACACTGGCGTGTAACTAACTGTTTATGGATAGTTGCAGACCCGTAAGCAGGAGAAACTTCCCCTTTGCAGGCCCTGGGTTGCGCTAAAAGCCCCCGTAAAGGCTGGGGTCGTGGTGGGGCCTCTCAGCGGTCTCTGGTCCCTTTACCCTGTAACGACAGTATGGGGTGCCCTCTGGCCGGCTGGGGCCTGCAGGGTCGGTGACAGCACGGCCCATGGGCGGGAAGGTGCACCCCGCGGACTTCAGGCGGCAGTGCCGAGCCAGCCCGCTTCCCAGCGCCCCGGCAACACGCCCCCGGCTTTTCAGCTCAGTTGGGAAAGCAATTGGAGCAGAAGGCGTACGCGCGAGCGGAGCAGGCGACCGCACGGAGTCTCCCGGAGGCTCCTGGCTTCGGGCTCCGAGTGGCTCAGCCCGGCAGGATGGGGCCAGGCGCAGGCTCTCGGCACCTGCCCAGCCCCGTGTCCTCAAGCTACCCGGGACACCCGACTCGGGCTGGAAGCCCACGCGCCCGGGTGCGGGAGCTGGAGAGGTGCGGAGACACCGAACCGGTGCGACAAAAAGAAGCAGGTGCGTGCTGGTCACGGGCAGCACCTCGGAGGCCCCCAGACCCAGGAAATGCCCCCCACCCGGGAAGTGGCAGCTGCAGGAACAGCTCCGGTTTGTATCGGAAGTTAGGGCAACCTTTGTTGGGGCTCTAACAACGGAGCCCCAACACCCGAGACTCCCCCTCCAGCCCCGCCTTCAGGCGGCGCCCCTCCCCCGCATTCAGCCAGCTACCTGAACGCCCGCGGGAGCCCGAGTAGGATAGAGCGGGGCGGCGGGGCCCCCGGGCGCATGCGCGTGCGCTGGGGGCGGGGCCTCCGCCTGCGCATTGCTGGCTGAGAGCCAAGTCCACCTCTCAGCGCTTAGTCCTAGTCCTGCGAGTTGTACAGGTTCTTGGGCGAGGACAGCGCCCCTTAGAGGCTGCATTCGTATGTTCCCTTCTTAACTGGTGGGGTTCAACAAATCCGTTTTTAGTGAGTGCCTCCTACTACCAATCACTCTTCCCGCGTTATTCACAGTCTGGGAAAGCTCTTGTAGAGAGCACGGTCTTTTCTGTAAGAAATTAAGGCAGTCCCGGAGCGCCTGGGTGGCTCAGTCGTTAAGCGGCTGCCTTCGGCTCAGGTGATGATCCCGGGATCCTGGAATCGAGCCCCGCATCGGGCTCCCTGCTTGGCTGGAGGCCGGCTTCTTCTCCCACGCCCCCTGCTTGTGTTCCCTCTCTCGCTGCGTCTCTCTGTCAAATAAATAAATAAATCTTAAAAAAAAAAAGAAAAATTAAGGCAGTCCCCATAAGCACAGTATGAACTTTTAACTTGTAATCACACTGGTGTGAACAGGGTTAAGATAAAACAAACAGGGTTCTAGAGGGGAGGGGGTGGGGGGATGGGTTAACCTGGTGATGGGTATTAAGGAGGGCACGTTCTGCATGGAGCACTGGGTGTTATAGCAAACAATGAATCATGGAACACTACATCAAAAACTAATGATGTGGGGCGCCTGGGTGGCTCAGTCGGTTAAGCCTCTGCCTTCAGCTCAGGTCGTGATCCCAGGGTCCTGGAATCGAGCCCCACATGTGCTCCCTGCTCCGCGGGAAGCCTGTTTCTCCCTCTCCCTCTGCCTGCAGTTCTGCCTGCTTGTGCTCTCTCTCTCTGTCAAATAAATTAAAAAAAAAAAACTAATGATGTAATGTATGGTGATTAATATAATAATAATAATAATAAAAGATAAAATAGAGTGTTTAAAGTACCTGGCCAGAAATAAACCTTAAATTCTAATCCCAGACCCACTACATTTTAACAATGTTACCTTGGGTAATAATTTCTATGAGCCCCAGTTTCTTATAAATCTCATAGGTTTGTTGTGAGCACTCAGTAGATTTTTTTTAATGTTGTAATTTTTAAAATAATGTCTACACCCAACATGGGGCTTGAACTCACAACCCAGAGACCAAGAGTCGCATGCTGCACTGACTGAATCGGCCAGGCACCCCTCAATAGAAGATTTAGATAAGAATTAAGAAAATTTAGATAATTGCTTTCATAGAAACCGCGGGAGAATTGCTGAAAGAATTTTAAGTGTTTCAAAGTTGACAGTAAAGATGTTTTAAATTGGGAAGGTGGTCAGGGAAGGGAGGAGAAGCCTGCAATCTGCAAGAGCCCAAGCAATGTCAGTCCAGGAGGCCTCGTGAAAGATTTTAAAACAGGATTATAAAACACTAAAGTATTACGATAACTACTCTCAACCTACAATCCTTGATTGGATTCTGATGAGAACCGTGAGTGTGATCAGCGTTTTCCCTCATTTCTGTCTGGGTACCTGAAATGATGAATGATGTCAGGGATTCCCATCTGCACAGGAGTAAAGCATTCAGCCTCCCAAATGAGGATCTTGGGTCTAGCCAATTGGGAGGAGCTGATTCAGAAGACAAGAAATTAATGAAGAACTGGAGTCTCGATATCAGCAAAGTATGGATAGTAAATTATCAGGAAGCTATTGAGGACATTGTAGACTTGGTTTCAGTGAGGTAGGAGATCATGATGGAGAAGGTGATGTGGCTGGAGATGATGATGATGATGATGATGATTCACCTGATCCTGAAAGTCCAGATGACTCAGAAAGTGATTCACAGAGAAAGAATCTGCTAAAGAACTCCAAGCTACTGAGCACCCTGATGAAGTGAAGGATCCTCAACAAAACTAAAAGACAACCTACTGAATGGGACTAGATATTTGCAAATGACATTTCCAATACAGCATTAGCATCCAAAATATATAAAGAACTTATACAGCTCAACACCAAAAAACAAATAACCAAATTTGAAAATGGGCAGAAGAGGGGCACCTGGCTGGCTCAGTTGGTGGAGCATGCGACTCTTCATCTCGGGGTTGTGAGTTCCAGCCCTATGTTGGGTATAGAGATTACTCAAAAATAAATAAAGAGGATAAATAAAGAGGGGCGCCTGGGTGGCTCAGTCGGTCAAATGTCTGCCTTTGGCTCAGGTCATGATCCCAAGGTCCTGGGATCAAGTCCTGGGTCAGGCTCCCTGCTCATCGGGGAGTCTGCTTCTCCCTCTGCCTCTCTCCCCCGCTTGTGCTCTCTCTCTCTCAAAAATAAATAAATAAAATCTTAAAAATAAATAAATAAACTTTAAAAATTTTAATTTAAAAAATGGGTGGAAGACATGAACAGACATTTCTCCAAAGAAGACATCCAGATGACCAACAGACACATGAAGAGATGCTCAACAGCACTCATCATCAAGGAAATGCAAATCAAAACCACAATGAGTTATCACTTCACACCTGTCAGAATGGCTAACATCAAAAACATAACAAGTGTTGGCAAGGATGTGGAGAAAAAGGAACCCTTGTGCACCGTTGGTGGGAATGCAAACTGGTACAGCCACTGTGGAAAACAGTATGGAGGTTCCTCAAAAAATTAAAAATAGAATTACTGGGTAATTCTGGGTGGCTCAGTCGTTAAGCGTCTGCCTTCGGCTCAGGTCCTGATGGGATCGAGCCCCACATAAGGTGTCCTGCTCAGCAGGAAGCCTGCTTCTCCCTCTCCCACTCCCCCTGCTTGTGTTCCCTCTCTCGCTGTGTCTCTCTCTGTCAAATAAATAAAATCTTTAAAAAAAATTTTTTAAATAAAAATAGAATTACCATATGATCCAGTAATTCCACTATTGGGTACTTACCCAAAGAATGTGAAAACACTAATTCAAAAAGATATGTGCACCTCTATGGTTATGCATTACGTACAATAAGCAAATTATGGAAACAGCCCAAGTGTCCATCAATAGTTGAATGGCTAAAGAAGATGTGGTATATATGCAATGGAATGTTGCTCAGCCATAAAAAAGAATGAAATCTTGCCATTTGCAACAACATGGATGGATCTAGAGAGTATAATGCTAAGTGATATAAGTCAGAGAAAGACAAATACCTTGTGATTCCACTCATGTGTGGAATTTAAGAAACAAAATGAACAAATTAAAAAGAGACAAACCGAAAAACAGACTGTTAACTATGGTGATCAAACTGATGGCTGCCAGAGAAGAGGCAGGTGGGGGGATGGGTGAACTTGGTGAAGTGGACCAAGAGTGCAATTACCGTGATGAGCCCTGAGTAACGTATGGACTTGTTGAACCACTCTATTGTACACCTGAAACTAATATAACACTGTGTTAACGATACTGGAATAAAAATAAAAATAAATATAAATAAAAGTAAGCTTTATTGTTATGACACACAATGGAGGACTGCTCATAGAGCATAGACCTTTACACTATAATTACTTAAAAGGGTCTTTTAAATAGGGTTTTTTAAATAATTACAAAAAGTGTTTGCATTCAGATGCCATGGGTTACACTTTTATGGGCATGACTATAACCATTTTTGCAAAGACTTGTATAAAATAATAAATACAATACTCAATTTCTTTTCATGTTAACACCATCAAACTTTTTTTTTAAAGATTTTATTTATTTGAGAGAGAGTGAGTGCAAGAGCACAAGCAGGGGTGGGGGGCAGAGGCAGAGGAAGAAGCAGACTCCCCACTGAGCAGGGAGCATGTCCAGAGCCAAAGGCAGAGGCTTAACCTGCTGAGCTACCCTGGCACCCCAGCCCCATCAAACTTCTAATCCCATCTTTTTACCCTTTCAAACACAGTTATGGGGGAGACATGTTTTTGTTTGTGGTAGCTGTTTCATCTTTTTTTATTCCTTTATATTTTTCTCTTATAAAAAGTTTATCTGATACTGTGATATGTTCATGATATTAACATGTTCATGTCATTATGCTTTGCAGTAGTATTATTCATCATGGGTATTTCTACTGTCAGTAACAATCTAAATTAATGTCGATAAAAGATTAGGTACTACTGGTCTTTGGACCAAAGCAACATGAAAGCAAATACTTTGACATCTGTTAGGATGGAGTTGCAACTGTCATACATTTGGAATGTTATGATCCCAAGCAATCTTTATGTAATGTGAATTACACTGTATATTTTTGATAAAATTTGGCCAAATTTTACAGAAGAAATTATTTCTCTGATCATTTGGTCCTATTTAAAACTGATTTTTTTAAACCTAATACGTAACCGAAGTTAACTTTCTTCCTAAAGCCTAAATAAGGAGAAAGCAGTTTCCCATTAAAAAAAAAAAGGAAAAAGGAAAAAGTCTTTCATGACTTTAATAATTTTCAAGAGTCTAAAAAAAATTTTTTTTTAATTTAAAAAAGAGTGTAGGTCAGGGCGCCTGGCTGGCTCAGTCATTAAGCATCTGCCTTCCGCTCAGGTTATGATCCCAGTGTCTTGGGATCCAGCCCTGCATTGGGCTCCCCGCTCAGCAGGAAGCCTGCTTCTCCCTCTCCCACTCCCCCTGCTTGTGTTCCCT